TAAATTCATCTTGCTTTGCAAGAACATTTTTGACCAGCCAGCACTCCTAGTACATTAGTATATTTGAAAAATTCTCAGCCAGTATTTCTAACAGGGGTAATTCAGGTTGTGTCAGAGACACTCCCCATCTCTACCGATTGGTCGACAACTTTCTATGTTCTGTACACAGTAAAGCTTGGATACAGATTGCTCTGAAGTAAAGAATAATTAAAGTGTACTTTTTGTCATTATTTCTTAAAAAGGGTCAGTTCCAGATATTCTTTTTTCACTATCATGGATGTTGTCTTATCTGTGGATGCTGTCTTATCTGTGAGACAGCTCCACAGAAATTTTCTAGGTGTGAAAGTAAATCCAAACAGGTGCTAATAAAATGATACTCATTAAGAATAGTGAGAATAGAGTAATCAAAGGAAAAACATGTAACATGGAACTGTTAAAGCTCATCCAAATACAGTCGACCTTGACATGCTGCAATAGATGTCTTACCTGAACCTAACTCATAGTAATACTTAGTACAGTTAAAGCAGAGAATACGGAAAAAAACCTCTGTAAACAAGGGGGCTGCTTTACCCCGATTTCCTTCCACAAACTGTCTACTCAACCAGCTTGCAAGACTAAGTAGGAAGTTTCCTTCTTTTCTGGAAGTGGTTTTATAACTTTAGGCCTTCTTAGTTGTTAGAAAGTGTTCATTATTCAGTCATACACCCAGACTGAGACTATTTCAGCAGTTTTGCAGTACAATGACTAATTGGGAGTATTTTGTATAGTAAAGCAGAATAGTGTCATAGATATTTTCCCGCTACGTTTCTATCTTATAGCTTTGGAGTAATTTCTTTTTGGGAAAAGTAACCCACCAAATGTCCTTTAACAAGCTCAGTGTCAAGGTGATGTGACCCTAGTGTGCTTGTGAGCTGTCCCCTGGCAAAGGCTGATTTGCTTCCAGATCAGTCTGCCTATGGAGGTAGAGCTTCTGACCCATCTGACAGTTTTTCACATTATATGTAGGACAGATCTTCTACAGGCTTCAACCAACTCTCTCCTACATATTAAATATAAAGTGGTTTAAAGGTACTACATATGCGATTCTCAAAATGAAAAAGCAGTGGAGACTGATTTATGAGAACACTTAAACATACATATAACAAGATTTAACCTTGTCTTGTTTAGTTCTGCATTTTGGGTGTGCTTTAGCATATCCAAAATAAGTCTATACTTTGGTCACGCTGATTCCAAAAACTTGCAACTGTTAATCATGAAATATCAATCACAAATGGAAAACAATTACTTTTGAGTTGTGTAGTAGTCCATAGAAGGTCACAATTACATTTTTGACTGATCAGAACTTCAAAGGCATCAGAATATGAATGTGTGCTCCTATTCATATTGAAAAACACAGAGTATTATTAGTAGGGCTGAATGCAAATCTCATCTATAAGTAACACTATTCCTAAACAAAAATAAAGCAAAAAAAGTAAAAATCTATTTCAGAGGAAAACAGCTTCATATGCACATGAAAGCTCAGTTAACAGACACCACTCTAATCCTATATTTGCTTCTGCATATGTTTTTACTCTTCACTTGATTCAGTACCATTCACCCTCTCCCTGGCCTTATACTTTCATTCTATATTTAGTTCTTATCCATTGATTACTGTCTGTTTCTGATAACAATGTATTCCCATCTGATAGAGGTACGTCTTCAGATGTATCAGAGTTAAAGTTGTTTCCTTTCTCTGTCCCTGCTGTGCTGTTGAGCATGCATTGACATACAAAATGCTTTTGTCATGCATAGTTTGATTTTCTAGGACTGAACGCTGAGAATTCTTCAGTAATGTGTTAGCAGACAAGCTCAAATATTGTTCTTCATTCACTTGTTGACTGACAGTTATACTCAATTCCTCCAATGTTTCCTTGTGTCGGTATGAAAGTCTGTCTTCTCATTACCTCATAATTTGATGTAATCTGTCATTTCTCCCAATTCCCTTGTTAATAATGTCTCCAAGACAACCCAGAAATCAACTCATAAAGTATTTGTATATTTCTACCTTAATTATACGAATAACCCAACTTTACACCTAAAAGCAGGAGTTTGTATTAGATTCTGTCAAATAGTAAACTTCCTAAATATCCTAAAAAAATGTTCAAATGGAATCATCAGTTAGGATTCTTAGTGAAATATACATTATCTGAGATCAGGGCACATGGTTACATGCACACATTAGTACAATATATAGTACTTACTCCTCCCCTCTTCCTAAGATTGTTTTTTTTTTTCCTATCCGGGCAACTACAGAGCAAAGAGGACCTTCATTTTATTTTCTTAAACACAAATTTGGGTATCTCAGGAATCTGATGTGAGGGTTTAGCTGCTGCTACCATTCCCTCCATCAACAGCGAATGCAAGTACTGATCCTAGGACAATTCATTTAGCAGGTAGCCTCACTTAGTGGGAAGGGAGTACCTGTTGCCAGCTTGAACCAAGAGCATTTTTGCCTTGTGCCCAAGACATGGTGGGAAGAAAATAAGCAGGGATTGCATGTGTCCAGGTTTGGATATCACTTTAAAGAATCAAATTAGTTTCAATTTTTCAGTTTTGTTACTGTTTGAGGGACAAGGAGAGAGAAAGGACACCTTACAAAAGAATATTTCTGATAGGTTAGACAGAAAAGGCTCCTACTAAAATGCAATTTTCAGTATGTACACTGGGCCAGGAAATTAATGTTTACTTTGTTGGATGAAGAGTTGAATAGATTTTGTGCTGGCATTCTGCGTACTGTGAATTTCACAGACTAGTGTAAAACAAACTCCTAAATTGAGTCAGGAGCTGAATTTCAGATTTTGACGAAATTTCTAACTAACCCTAAACAAAATTTTCACAATCTCCCTTGCTTAGACTCCTTAAGAATAAATCTGACATTCTGTATAGTTTTCAGGTGGCAATGCTTGTTTTTCAAAACAAATGTACATGCACAGACACATGCACAGAACTTGGTTTCACCTTAGTTCTTTGTATTTTTACAAAGGTTGTGAAGGAAATATGACACACAAATACTTTGACTTTAAAGGGAGCAACTATGTAACTTCCAATACAGCTGCCTAGAATTATACTTGTGCATATATTGGTGCATGTGACATCTTTAGCCCACTTCTCAGAATGAATGCTTTGTATATACAAGGAATGGAGAAGGTATCAACCACTTCTCTTTCTGGCCACTGGGCTGATGTTGAGGTAAATTGATTTCCATCTGGATTCTCTCACTTCCTCTGCTCTTATATTTTGGTTTCAGAGTAACAGCCCATGACTGAGAGTAAGCATAAATAGTAGCAAGGAAGTAAGGCATGGAGGCAACAGAGCAGCTGGCAGAAGATGAAATGGAAAGCAATGAGGTACAGACATTTATGTATATGCAGTTGGTTATACAAACAGATATGTCTGGGTATAGTTCACAATCTCAGGATCTTGCTTCATAGAACAAGAAAAAATTCAGACAATTTTTCACCATTACTCTCTCCTCATATATCTAAACTTAGACTTTACTATTTCATTTCATTCTGAGTAGTAATACAAGTGAAACAATCTTGACTTTGCAGTATTGTCTGTGCTTTGAATAATCAACTGAGATGGTGTCTCTCACATTTCAAGCAAGTAACAAAGCTGTCAAAACATAGATGACCCAAAATATCTAACTGTTCATGGAAAATGGAACTGCTCCAGAAGAGAAATAGTTAAGAAGAACAAGGGCTTTCCCCGAGTATCATATCTGCTATCATCCTTTACTAACCACTGAACTATTGTGGGCAGCTGTTTTGTCAATATGAATGTAATTTTGGTATTCATGAAAGAGTATTTTTGAAGGAATATGGTTGTGCCTAAAACCCCTTTATCAACTTTAGTGAGGAGGGTCTTCTGAAGGACAGGTTAAAGGAGCAAACAAAGGGTTAGAGAGATGAGTACTTAGCATCAAGTAATCAGAACTTGTCAGTGCAAAAGATTTGGTCAGTAGGGCTAAAGGAGAAAGGGGATAGAGCACTGATTGTAAGTTTATGTTTTCAGTAAAGTGACAAGTTTGAAATACGTTAAGAGTACTGGGAAGAGAAAAATCCTGCTCGTGACTGTACTGCTCAATGAACCTTTGCTTATGCATCTTGTACGTTGGACAAACAGATCCTTTCCCCATACTTTGCCACAGAGCCAGGTGCTTATATCTCCTGGGGGGAAGATGAGAAGTGTAAATGCCAACTCATGTAGCAGAGAGGAGTTGACTATAGGTTCCCTAGTAAGAACTGTTTAGGATGGTTTCTGATTTCATATGACGATGACATTTATGTAGCAGTATGCTGGCTCGAGGGCACTTTTTTGCTAATTTCATTTTCAACCTATTGACCACATGCATAATTCTACAGTTGTGAAATTGCAAGCAGTGCAATGAAAAGATTGCTCAGGTTTTAAAATCATTATTCTTATTTAAATTGTTAATACTTTTCTTCCTCTAAATAGTTTTAAAAATCTACTTGTTTTCAGTTGTATAAAATCTTTTTTAAAATCACAGAATTTTTGAGCTATTTAAATATTTCCATCAATCAGACACAGAAAAAAAATCTATCTGCTTAATATTTTTGCATATTACCTTTATGTTTTTACACCATATAAACTGTTACTATTTGAATTACAACCATGTTCTGTAATATTTAGATGAACTTCACAGGTATGTGTGATAATTGCAACAAATTAGAAGAAGATGAAAAAAATCCAAACTGAAGTTACCGTTTTCATAGGTTTGAATTGGTGTCTTAATTGGTTCTGAACTATGACTATCAAAGTGAAGAAAATCACCCAAATTTACCCTCCCCCTTAGTCAGCGGTAAGCTTCATAGGACCTCCCCAAGCCAAATAAGGTCAGGAAGAATGTGCTAAGCACTGAGTGTGCTAAGAATAAAGTTGAACTGGGATGGATAAGGTTACTTTGAACTCTATATTTCATGTTTCCCGACATAGCCCCCAAAGAACTGCAATTACGCTGGAGAGGCTGCAGAAGCATTGAACAGTTCTTTCTGAGTTCTTTTGATTTTTGTTGCCTTTCCATGACTTCCTGTCCTGTTTAGAGCTGTGTCTTTTTATTTTTTATTTTTAGTGTGCGCGGTTCTGAGATTATTAGAAAAATGTGCTGAAGGTTCACGGTGAGGCGTGGCTATTTTTGTTAGAAGCTGATACTTTAGACTGAGCTTTAAGTGGTGCCTCTGGAAGACCTTGGGTTGCTGTGAGAGGGCAGGATTCTGCAGAGGAAAAAGACATTTCAGAGGGGCACAAAAGAAGAAGGAACACAATTAGACAAAGCAGAGGACCTCCCTCCTTCTCATTCTGCAGCTCCTGCAAGAGCCAGCAACCCAGAAGTACAGTCTAAGCTGCCACAGTAGATCTTAACTATTTTACCATCATCATGGCTGAGATTACAGCAGAAGGTACAGTAACTCTTTTCAAATATAATTATTTGAAAATTATATGTACTTTAACAGTATAATTGAAATAGTATGTCAAAAAGGTTTGTTACTCTTATCAAATAATGCTTTTACTCTAGGACCATTTCATTTTGTGTGCTGGATTGCCTTTCACATTTCTTTCCTGTTTTTTCTTTCTTTTTTTTACTTTTTCAATCCTGTAGCCTGAGTTTTTACCAGTTACTGAAGCTAGTTCTCTTTACATCTCTAAAAATAACCTTAGTCTCAATTGCAGAACATCACCATTTAGGCAGCTCCATTAGAGTGATACAAGAGGGGAATGTCTAAATTTTTAGGGCATTCTACTCTTTGCTCAGGTGGTCCGTATAATGAGAGATTTACCTGAGTCAGAATAGTTTAATTTGTTGGCCCTGATTTTTCCTTAGGGAGCACAGAGTATTTGTGAACTGCATATGTAGTCACTGAAGGGTAAAATGTAAAAAAACATCTGAAATCCTTATTCAGATAAACTTCTAAAGGAGTCAGAGAAAATTGTGCTGAAATAAGTATGTGAAAGCTTGGCCTGCAAGAATGAAAGGCAATAGTATTAAACAATAAATACATATTCTAAAATATGAATGTTTCGTGTACTTTAATATTTCCTGACCATTCATATTTTAAAAATATTTTAGATGCATAACAATATTTTATCAACTGCAGTCAGTCAGAGGATATATTTAAAATGCAACCCTCTTTAATACTGAATATTTTTGTTACATTTAATTCCAACCCTTTTTTTTACAGTGTTTATATGAATTTTATAATGACATTACAAAAGGTGCTTTTAAAAAGTCTTCTGAAGGTTATTTTTGTTCTACTTCCAATTATGTTGTCTTTCAGTGCATGAAAGCTGTAGTTTTCATCTTCTATTTTTTATTGTTCATGCTTGTAAGAGGATTCTGCATTAAGTGCTACTAATGAGTGACCCCCTTCCTTCTAAAAGGTTGATATTAAGAGTATGTCAAGTTGTACAGTCGTTGCTTGATGTCTGGTTAGCCATAGCAAGGAGACAATGTGATTTTTGAATCACCAGTTGGACTGTTCTCTTATTTACTTCTGGTTGCAAATACTGACAAAACAGGTGTCTCAGCCTGACAGCTAAGACAAACACTAGTTTATTTGAATATTCTTAACCAAATTTGTTTTAAACATTGGTTGTATTGTAGCTGTGATCAGGGAAATCCACAGAATAACCAAATTAGTAAGATTTTTAGTCCAAAATTAATACTAAAAATAGAAGACTTTTCAATCAGTCTGGAAGTCTTTTCAGTCATTTGGTTTATTGAAGAAAGACAATAAAAGATCCTAAAATGAAATAAAAGATCCTATAAAAGAATCTGAAAATGTTTTTATTGTGTTTTTATAGTGGTTTTATAGGTATTCCTTAGCTATCATAATGTGTGTCTTTCTTCTGTGTTTTTCTTGTGCAAAGCATAGACTTTAGGTAGTAAAGGGTACCAGCTCCACAGTAAGCTGACCTTCTGTATGACAGGTAAATAAGCCATATAATTAGTTCAGTTTAGTTTAGTTTAGCCTAGTTTTGTTTTCACATATTTAGAACAAACTTATGTTGATAGACTGATTTTAAAACTCTGTATCCATGAGATGGAAATTTTACTCATGGAAGAAAAGTAAGAATTCTGCCTCAGGCTAACGTTTCACTGCAGTTTATTTTCCTCCAGGGCTAGTACTGGCACTCACAGTCTGAAAGTTTAAATATAAACTTCAGCAACATATAGTTTGATTAAATAAAAAATGTATTAAAATACCTGTTGCTTCACAGAATTTCTTCTTTTTTTTTCCCATATTACATCCCATCCCCTGATTTTCTGAGGTGTTCATGACTTGATTAGGATTAAAATACTTACTCCTTGGAATAGGTGTTCATAACTCTATCTTACAGTGTCAGCCTCATATCAGCCAGACTGTCGGGCTCCTTGCCTTTTGAGGTACCATGATAACACGTAGGAGAGCAGGCCACAACAGTGATGCAGGCTTCAACTGTGCCATGGCCAGTGTAGCTGCTGGTTTAGAGAGATGGTCTAGCCCTGGTAGAGTGTGTGGGTGCATATCTCAGGATACCTTTTTCTGACAGCCCATGTCAAGACTGTGATCTATTCAAAGATAGATGAATAGGGATGATGGGGAGCTCTTTCAAGTCAACATCATGATAGTGACAATGAGATTAAGTTACTTAAAAATGTTGCCACTAAGCAATGACCCTGCCCTGTCTACTTGCATCACAAGTCATATGTGCTATCTATTCTTTTCCACAGTTACAAATTAGTTGTGGAAATACTGGTGAAATGTACACAGTGAAAGACAAAATGAGATCTCTGAAGACAGCAACTTATAAGTGTCCTTAGAAAGTTGGCAGGACTTATGTCTCCTGCTGTCAAGTATTTAAGAGAAGATTCCAAGGGATTATCTTTAGCATTCTCGTATTACATGTCATTGCAGTCACAGAAATGTATTATCAAAAAGTGGAAGCCCTTAAAACTGTATTAAAAAAAAATCTCAATACAGATATTAAGTACTCTGTCTTTCCAACACTCTCAAGGTCTAATACTAGTATTATTAGTATTATTAAAATATTAATATTAATTAATATTAATTATTGATATTGTTATTATTACATTTAAGCTGTTATTATGTATTCTTCTAATGGCCAGGATCTTTACTATGATCCACCTAAGTGATTGTCTAGCAAGCTATGTTATTTTGCTGTGTTTATGGAACACAGGGATTGGACTGGACTCGATGGCAGATGTAGTTCACAGAATCACAGAATATACTGAGTTGGAAGGGACCCATAAGGATCATCGAGTCAACCCTTATAGGACCATCCCCAAGAGTCACACCATGTGCCTGAGAGTATTGTTCAAATGATTCTTGAACTCTGTCAGGCTTGGTGCTGTGACCACTTCCCTGGGGATCCTGTTCCAGCAGCCAACGACCTGGTGAAGAACCTTTTTCTAATATCCAGCCTAAACCTCCCCCGACACAGGTTTGTGAGGTGACTTTCCTCATCCTGCAATGGGCCAATATTTCTATACTGTTTATTGCCATTTATATACAAAAAACCTCTTTTTATTGCCCCCCCACATTTCTGCCCACATTCTGCTCCAGTTGAGTTTTGGAAGCACAAATTTTCTCCCTTCAAAGGCAAGCAGCATCTCTGAATTCTTCCCATACCACTTGACCTTGAGCCTGGCACCTCTGAGAAATGGCTTCAATCAAAATACAGCTTAATCTGTATGTGCACAGTAGCTCCAGCAGCAGCCTTATAGTTGGTCCTTTCTAGTCTCCTGCAGGTCACAGTGCAAGGTTGATGGCTGTCCCCTGACACTTTATGCAGGGAAGAATGAACAGAGACACAACTCTGCTTGCTGCAGTGCCCTGGAGACTGTGCACTGACCTAATCCAGGGAGGTGAGAAGAGGAAAAAACAAGGTTTCTATGCCAGCTGTTTGTCTACCACAAGTAACTTCTCCAGTGGAGCAAGAAGCAGGAATCAAATAGAAATAAGACAATGAGTTACAGTTTGGTCCTTATTTTGCTGCTGAGAGCTGTGCAACTACATATTTCCTCTATCTAGGAGCAGGCTGCAAGCAGACAGGTTAACCCTGAGGCCACACACAACTTGTCAGTGACAAAATCAAAATTAGCTTTTCAGGATTTCAGTCCTTTACTCAGGCTTGTTGATAGCTATGAAAAGTTTTAAGATGTAAACCATTTCAAAAGGCAACAAGATCTGCATACCTGAAGATTGATAGACACAAAACTAATAATATATGGGAAATAACCCTTTAGGCATATGAGGTTTCCTACCTTTCAGTTAGACTGCTGTTCAAGTTTGGAATTAGAAGGTTTCTATAGAATTCATTTAGCATCTAGTGAATTTTCAAAATGAAAAGGTGTCTTCTTTTTCTGGCTTTCAGTGTTAAGGAACCAGATAATATACCTTTTACAGCAGGGTAAGGAGAATGCAACAATTTTAGCAATGATTTTTTGAAGGAGTCAGTCTGTTCCTCTTTAGAACTACGGGATAAAATTAACAGCATAATTACCCAGAGAGACAAAAAGTCAGGAAACCCTGCCTGTAAAAAAGTCTTTGTGGGGAACAAAAGCTCCAAATTCTCACTGAAATTCCTTAAAATTTGTATTCCCCTGTGACTGCGGGCCTGGACAACTGAGCTTTATAGTTTGGTTCCAGCCTTGATACTTTCTCATGGCCGTTGAAGCAATCGTGAGGTCAAATTTACTATCTTAAGTTTTAGGTTTAAGAATTTGTGGACAATGCTACTCACAGCTGATACAGTATCTATGCATGTTCAGTTGGTACAGGGAAGCTCTTTAGGTAGCCCCTTAGAAAGTTAGCTATCTATGGACAGCAGGAAGACTTAAAACCAATAAACCAGAGGGCTAAGGTGTTGTTAGTCTGTGATGGGCTGAAAGTGTCTGCGTACAGTTAACTCTCCTTTACTTGTGGTCAAAGAGCTGGACTTTAGGTCTGAACATTTATTAATTTTTTTTTTTAAAAGAACCTGGTGCTCATAAGTATTTGGAACGTATTTTAAGGTTATTTATATAATAAGAAACATGTTTAAAATCCTAGTAGTATTTTCAAGTTATTGGGGAGATCAGTCACCACTGATTTAAAAATGAAATCTGTGCAACTACTTACATTCTCAGAAGTCCCAATCTACAGCTTCAAGCACCGAAAATTTGAAAAAAACTAGTCTATAAATATTTTGCACAATTTTACCCATTGTCTACAGTGTAAATACTGAATAAGAAGTAGATTCATGCTGCTTTTACTGCTTTGCTGTGGAAAGCAGAAACTTTTTTTTTTTAACCTTTTAGTTTAAATCATATGTCATAATATAGGTCTGGCTTCATTTTAGGGCATCCTGAGGACAGAGAAACAAGAGTTATCCTATTTGAATCAGGTCATGTGGTTAC